ATCGTACGAGGAGACCAAATGGAAGCTAGGGCGTGCAATATTGACCTGCCAAAACCTCGGACAACATGCTAAGAGGCAGGCCAAACGCACGAATCGGAGAAGCTAGACTAAAAAAACCCATCGTCGTAGATCTTTCTGAGATCGGCATAACAGAGAAACACTTCAAAAGACCTACGGATGACCATCCTTTGATGAAAGAGAAGCTGACCCACATCCTTATCCTGGAGTCCTGGTAGTCTCAATACCTGTGGCAGGGAAAAATATCTCAAAGGTCCTAGTTGACACTGGAAGCGCCATCAACATTCTCTTTAGCAACACCTACGAATGGATGGGCATACCTGCCAACTTCGTGCGACCATACTTTAATATGGTCCTTGGATTAGTAGAAACCTGACCTTGGCCAAAGGATCAATCCAGCTCACTGTTCAGGTTAGATCGGTGTTTCGCCAAACCAGAATGAATTTTGAGTTTATAGTGTTTGACACCTCGTCACCGTATGACGCCTTCATGGGACAGCCTTTGATATTCGGTTTGAAAGTGGTGGTATCCTTCTACCATTATTCGATCAAATTTTCCACACCTCATGGCGTGGGCGAAGTCAAAGGAAGTTGAGAACTTGCCAAAAAATGCCAACTGAAAGTCACCACTAGGAGTATACATGGCCCACACATGAGAACCCGAACTCGGTCACTAGACCCGTGCACCAAAATCGAAGGAAGAGAAATCGTGGAAAAATTGGAAGAAATACCAGTGTGTGACGACGACCCATCAAAAGCACTCAAGATTGGGAACGAGTTGCGAAATTCGATCCAAAGTGAAATTATGAATTTCCTCAGACAGAACCTCGACGTTTTTGCTTGGGATCATGAAGACATGAAAGGAATTAGCCCCACAATTGCTTGCCACAGGCTGCATGTTGACCTCGCAACTAGACCGAGACAGCAAAAACACTGCCCTTTGAACCCGGACAGGTATGAAGCGTTTAACAAAGAGGTATAGAAACTATTATACAATGGGTTTATACAAGAGGAGAAATATCCCAAGTGGATTGCAAACCCGGTTCTCATAAAGAAACACAATGAAAACTGGAATGTGTGCATAGATTTTACCGATCTCAACAAAGTATGCCCTAAAGATAGCTTTCCCCTACCAAGAATAGATCAAATGGTGGATGTCACTGCTAGACATGAACCACTCAGCTTTATAGACACGTACTCTGGGTACAACCAGATACCAATATACGGCCCACATCAAGAGCATACCTCGTTTGTCACTGATTGAGGTCTTTACTGCTGCAGGGTAATGCTGATGCTGTTTGGTCTAAAAAATGTAGGAGCCACATACCAGCAGCTTGTGAACTTGATGTCCTCTTAATAGATCGGAAAAACCATGGAAGTTTATATTGATGACATGTTGGTCAAAAGGACTTGCGCTAGAGACCATTGCCAGCACCTAGCAGAAATGTTTGATATCCTCAGTAAATATGGGATGAAATTGAACCCAAGGAAATGTGCCTTCGGAGTCAGCTCGGGAAAATTCCTTGGCTACATGGTAAACAGCCGTGGAATCGAGGCAGGCCCGGAAAAGATACAAGCTATCATCAACATGAAAGGCCCAACTAGACCAAAAAAGGTGCAAAGTATAACAGGGAGAATTGCCACCCTCAGTCGATTCGTATTAAAATCCACAGATCGGTGTAAATATTTCTTCGACACCCTTTGGGGAGGGAAAAATTTGAGTTAACCTCGGGAAATAGCTAGCTCAACCTCCCGTACTCTCAAAACTAAAGGGAGGAGACGTCACCATAAGTGCCATTCTAATTCGGGAGGAGGATGGAACACAATACTTCGTTTACTACACAAGCAAGGAACTCTGCGATGTCGAGCTCCGTTACTCTCCGCTGGAAAAGCTATCATATGCGCTGGTCATGGCAACTCGAAAACTAAGGCCCTACTTTTTGGAGCACTCCATAGAGGACCAATTCACCATTAAGGCAAACCTTGCAAAAACCAGATACATCTAGAAGAATGGTCAAATGGGCAGTAGAGCTCAGAATATTTGATATCAGATATAGACCCCTACCTCTATTAAAGGTCAAGCCCTCGTAGACTTAGTTGCAAAATTCAGCGATGAACCCAGAGAGGAGCGAACACCAGAAGCTCCTTGGGAACTCTTCGTTGACAAATTGTCTACCAGAGACAGGTTGGGAGTAGGAATTGTATTAATCAGCCCGCACCAGTAACTACTTTGCGAAGATGTACCTTTTGACTTTAAGGCTTCGATTAACGAAGCCGAGTAAGAACCCCTCATTTCCAGGATAAGAATGGTAGTTGGGCAATCTCCAACCTGGTCTTGCACAGTGATTCCAAATTGGTGGTCAACCAGATCGATGGAACGTATCAGGCCAAAGAAGAAAGGATGGACAGTTACCTTTGAGTTTCCAAAAAAGAACTCGAACATTTCCAAGATGTACAGATCAAACAGATCTCTTGATCCCAGAACAACCACGCTGATGTTTTAGCTCGTTTGGCTATAATTGAAGGGAATGAGGGATTCAATAGCATTTCTATGGGAAAGATAGCACGGCCTGCTACTGAGCAAGCCGAAGTAACTCTGATGATGATAGACTACAAGCCGAGTTGGATGGATGAAATCGTCTCACATCTTAAAAAGGGAAAATGCTCTGAAGATCCGACCGAAGTGAGAAGACTTCGAACTAGGTCGGCCAAGTATATGTTGATGGACGAAGTCCTACAAAAGAGGATACTCTACTCTCCTATTGAGGTGCTTAAATGAGGAAGAAGCGCAATACGCCTTGCGAGACGTACATGAGGGGATGTGCGAAAACCATTTGGGTGGGCAATCCCTAGTCCACAAAATCCTACACCAAGGATATTTTTGGCCCACATTAAAGCAAGACGCCATGAACTTTGTGAAGAAATGTGACAAATGTCAGTGTCTAGCCCCTCTAATCAAAACTCCGCCATACGAATTGAACCCGGTAGTGGCCCTATGGCTCTTTGCTAAGTCGGGAATTGACTTGATTGGACCTATGCCCATGGGAAAAGGTGGAGTCAAGTTCGCCATCATAGCCATAGATTACTTCACCAAATGTGCCGAGGCAAAACCACTTGCAAAAATCACCGAGCAAAAAACAATCGACTTCATCTAGAAACATATTATATACAGATTCTGCATACCTCGCTCAATCATTACCAACAACGAAAGGCAGTTTGACAATGCTCGTCTTGCAAATTTTTGCGAAGAGCTTGGCAACAAAAAACACTTTTCCACTCCAAACCACCCTCAAGCAAATGGCTAGGTCGAGGCCATTAACAAAATGATCAAACACACGCTAAAGCCAAGACTGGATGCACTAAAAGGGGGATGGGCCGAAAAACTCCTCAGTGTGTTGTGGTCGTATTGTACCACCACGAGAACTAGTACGGGCGAGACACTGTTCTCACTAGCCTTTGGTTTGGAAGCCGTGATTCCAGTAGAACTCAGCATCCCATCGTTTTGCATTACCGTCTACAACGAAGAGGAAAACCAAATAGTTCTTCGCAGAGAACTTAACCTCGTGGAAGAGAAGAGGAATGGCGTCGAACTCAGAAACGTCGTTTACAAACAACGAAATGTAAGATACTATAATCAAAAAGTGTGAAAATGAGAATTCGAAGTAGGATCTCTTGTCCTAAGGAAGATATTCCTCGCCACGAAAGAGGCCGGGAGTGGATCCTTGGGCCCCAACTAGGAGGGTCCCTACCTAGTAGCCAAGGTCCTACCAAAAGGAGCATATGAATTAGAAGAAGTGGAATACTTGAGGGGAATAAATAAAGTACTAGGAATAAATAGAACGAGTGGGGGAAGAAGTGGAATACCTAAGGACTGGGATCTGATGACCTCACTCAAACAGATAAAAAGAAAAAATCGTGCTCAAAAAATTTTCTTGCTGCCCTGAAGAGAGTAAATCGCAAAAAGAGAAATAGCCAGCCAAAAGGTATTTAAAAACTAAGAATGTGAAAATACTCCACCCCGACCATTCGATGAAAAAATGAGGGAAAATAAGCGGCTCAGATTCACCCGGCCCAAAACTACGTCTTTTTGAGCAAAACTTCTCCAGGAGGCCAAGGCAAATGCTAGACAACTCACGCCGATAAAAAAGTGACACCTGGCTCTGCAATAAATGCGGTCTTTGAGAAGAGGAACAGCCAATCGAGGAGGTCAATTTTCCTTTAATGCAGAAGTGACCTGGGGGGTAACTGTTGACCCCCGAACTCTGACCTCATTATAAATCGTCCATAGGCCCCCACTTTAGCAAATTTAAGTTCGGTAAAAAAAAAGCTAAGTTCATCATTCCATTGCCGCCCTCACAAAAGAGAGACATTATGATTGCCCCTTGTCACACCACCCGCCCAATCTCGCACACTTGCCATAAGTGATGTAATAACGCCCAAATGCTACCAATCCAATGCTCGGAATCTTCAATTCTTCACAGGTCATCATTACTCAGGGAAACATTGGCACATGGCTACCGACTTAATTGTCCAATCACAAAAGAATTCGACGATCCAACTTTCGAGCTTGGCACTGTAGCTGATTTGACGTAATTTCGGTTGGGAATCATGTATAAATAATGAAAGAATAGGAAAAAAAACAACAAACTCGACACACAAAAACAAAGAAAAAACTTAAAATAATTTACCCGCGATGATCTTTTGATCGCACCTCTTTCTTAAAGTTGATTCGAAATTAACTCTTACAAATTTCGACGTCAACAAGTTTAGTGACTAAAAATTCGATCATCTCAACGTTTAACAGTATGACGGGATGTCACATGTGTATTTTATCAGTTAAGTCATCAAATCCATTAGATGCTTTAATGGATGTTATATCATTTATAGTAATGTCCAATATTTTATAAATTTTAATTATCAAAACTCGATATTTAAAATTTGCTTGAGCAATTGAAACAAGTGAACATTCAAACAATTATCTCCTTTAAACAAATTTTGCCGTGTGTCCCTCTCTTTTGTCTCTTAACAAGTTTTATCTCTCCACTCTCTCCCCCTGAATTTTGCAGACCACACGGCAGGCTCCGAACCCAAACCATAATCTTGAATTCTAACTTGTACCCGTTCATCTCTTGTACTCTGAAACCTCCATACACGCAGCCCGCTTTCGCCGATTTCTTCCTGAGGTGAGTCAATGATGAATTTGTTATTATTTTTTGCTGCCTCCAGATTTACATTTTGCTGCGATTTCAATTTGCAATTAAGTATGAATGATGAATCTTTACAGTATTTAATGTTTTTTCCTCTCTAATCCTTAATTACACCGACTAATTTAAATTAGGTTAAAAGGTAATGCTTTATTATTATTCTTATTGGAGAATGTCTCTTTGTTTCTGTTTTGGAGTTGATTGAATAAGGATTTAGAATATTGCGCAGTAATTTTGGTAGATGAAGAGAAAGGAAAATAGGTTAAATTTTCCGTTTCTATTTTCTTCCTTTGGAGGAAAAAAAATAAATAAAATTGGCAAAAGCATTGAACCTGGCTGAACAGTTCTAATGTGATCTTGTTTGATTTTATTATACTTATTCCAATCCAATGAAATTAAGTTTTCGAGATTCAAATTTTTACAATTTCATTATTAGTTTTATTTACCAGATTTAAAATATATTAAAGGAGTATTTATCCTTTCAATAATTTAGAGTCTTTCTTTTTCTAACCTTCAGTTGGTAGAGAACTTGGAGTCAATTTAATTCTTAGTTTTTGTGCAATTTTTTGTGTGTTTGTGTTTTTTTTTTGTTTTGTTTTGTTATTTATTTATTTTTATTTTTTTATTTTTTTGACTTGAACATATAACTGGAAATGACTATTTTTATTGTTTAATTGATTTTAGTTGCTGTTTTTCATGTATTTGAAGGCTCGTTTTCAAGATTTCACCTGTTTTGTTTTTTTAGGAAATGGACACCTTGGTTGTTTCTTTTTCAAATCAAGAAGAGGTGCCTATGTCAAGTTATTCACTATACCACGTCCACTCCACTATTGCAACTGATTTCAGTTGTTGAATAATGCTTACATTTTGTTTATTGTTTATAAAGTATGTATAGTCGAGTACTGAATAATTGTTGGACTAATTCATAACTAGGGACGGAGCCAGGAACTTAAGTTACGGAGGGCAAAAATTTAGAAATTTAATGTACAAAATATCTACATAGTGCTTATATAGTTTGTTGTCGACAACTTGAACAGGTAGTTAGATGAATTGTTAAGCTTGTTTCGATACTTTAAAAACAAACTAATCAAATGCCTGTAAACAAATTTGAATAGAAAATTCATTAAAGACTAAAAGTTCGCAACAATCAAAAATCAAAAATATAATGTATAAAACCATAAACATAATTAAAAAATCATCAAACACATTACACAGCAAAAAATTTTAGAACATCAGAATATGTTATAAATTTATAATTTAACCCTCAAAGTTTAGGAAACTCAATGAATGAAAAAAGAAGAAGTTATTTCGATATAAGTATTAAAAAAGGACACAATTACTAACCAATAATCTAAGAAAACGAGTTGCTAGCTAAAAATGTGGTTCGGAGTAAGTAGTTGCTGGCCGAACTGAAACTCTTCTTCATAGGTACTTCCTTGTTTGTGGTCGACGGCTCTCCGGTGAGATGGTAGCTAGGAAAAATAATACACAAATTAGGCACTAGGGTTATTCAAAGATTTGGGAATTTTTGTTTTTCAAATTTTGCATCTGAGTGACGGGAATGGTGGAAGGAATGAAGAGGATATTTGTTGGGTAATTGGGTAATGGGCTGTTGGATACTAAAACAAATCTTTGGGCCAAGTATAAAATAAGAAACTGGTTTTACAAATTGTGGTGGGTTGGTTAATGGTTGGTGGGCTAATGGATTAAAATTAAAATATTTTAACATTATTTTGGGACTTTTACTGGACATGGGCTTGGGCATTACTGGGCTACAGCCTAGTAGTGCCCTCCCTTCAATCCGTTTTTATTCGTAACTGAATAATTGTTGGACTAATTTGTATATTGTACTTTAGAAAAAAATATGAGAAAGGTGAGAGTATTAGTATGGTACCAAACTGAACAAGAGCTGGACGGTTACGATATAGTTCTGTAAGGTCATGTTGAATGTTAATTGACGTTTTTCCAAATCAACATGAGGTACTTATTCACTCTTTAACTTGGAATTCTTTAGGGAATTTCCTCTAAACATTTGGTGTTCAAGTATTAAATTGGGTATAATGGGATTGAGTGGTTCACCTGATCTATATTGGCTAGTTCACTGGATTTGGTTGGGTTTCACCCATCATTCAGCTGAACCAACCCATTGAATTGAGTCTGCAGTGACTGGCCATAGGTTGAACAAGCTGTTTGTTTACAATCCATTGATTCATCCATCTGAGGACATCCGGAGAAAGTAGTTCAGAATTAATTCAACTCGGGATAAAGAATTTAAAATCAAAAATCAGATGAACAATCGAAGAGAAGAAAACAAACAAAAAGTCGTGTCAGTCCTGACTTTTTTGTGAATTACTATTCTTGTTGATTTTGTTTACTTGTCTTTTACTATGCAGATGGAAGGCCATATAGCTGCTGATCTCTATGGAGAGGCCCTACAGCAATCAAGTATTGAATCTTTTCCAACATCAGCTGCTGATTATACATTGAATGATGCACAAGGTACGAGTTTTAGTATGAGCTAGTTTCTGTAAACTAATAAATCCTGAAGGAATGCTCCCAACTGCGTTCTTTGCAAAGATGTCTTTCTAATTGAATTCTTAATTTAATGCAAATATTAGGAAAACAAATTTCTTTAATTGTATTGTGAAACAATATTACATGATAGGCACTGTGAAGGTCTTAGTGCCTGCAGAATCATTACTGCATGTTTTTGATTGTTCAGAGCACAATAACCTGACTAGGACATTGATATATTAGAGACTAAGTTCGTAACCACACTTGTGGTCGTTGACCACATCATATAAATTAGGGGTAACGATCTCCAAAATTTCAGCATCTGCTAGGAATCCAGGATGGGACCTACTGGGCCACTGGCTGCCTCTTGTTATGAACCACCTCGTCTCTTGCCTTGGCCCCAGCATGCTGTCTCATTGAAACTTACTGGAATAAAAGAACTACCATTCGAGTCTGTTCTTGCTGCCTAAGTTGTGATATAATGGGGTATTGGGGTTATCCTCCAGTGAACGAAGGTCATTATGACAACATGAAGTCTTAATGAAATAAGAATGTCCTAGCATGCAAATATGCTTATACTGGTAATTGTTTAAGTTGTATAAGTTTCTGTTCTGGGAAATTCCCATTTGTCTCTCTCTTCCTATAGATGTGCAGGTACTTTTTATGTTATATTACTAAGTACATATTTTCATATGATCTATTAATTAGCAACTGCTGGTTATTTTCAGTTGCAAACTTTTATATGACTGGATAATTCATTAGCTAATGTTGTCCATTTCCAGTTTCGAGTGCACATTGGCTTTCTTCATCTTTCTGTGCTATTTTGTTGCAACTTTGGATTGACTGAAGTCGCTATAGTCACAATGTTTCCTATTAAGACCCTTTGTTATTTTACTTTTTATTACTTGTCCCGGCAGTAGTTTTGCTACTGTGCCTGGCGGTGTGCATGAGTATCTAATTCCATTCAGTTTGCAACAACAGATAATGGTTCTGATGACTGGTACAATGAGGATGGAGACTCATATGAATGGGAGTCGGAGAGAATACGCAACCAATTTGTCACAGTATTCTTACAACTTTGATCCCTTTTTTTTTTTTCTCTCTATAAAAGTAGAAAGAAACAATGCTGTTTGTAAATTTGTGTCCAAGTAAATATTTATTCAGTCATACTATTAGTCACTCCCGTTGAAATATTTCTTTAGGTTGGATACCGTGAAGGTCTCATGGCAGGACAAGAAGCTTCAGCGCAGAATGGCTTCAACATTGGCTTTAAGCAATCGGTATCGGCTGGATACAACTTGGGTATTGTCAGAGGCGTCACTAGGTAAACGAGTAAAATAGTCGGGAAAACATTTATAATTACTTACTTTTGCTGCTATCAACTAGATATCATCATCTTGCTTACCCTTTTTTGTATTTAACATAATCATTTGTTTTATTTGAAGTGCTCTGAATTGCCTCCCCAATGAGTTGAAGGAAAGATTAGTCGAAACAGAGGAAGAGAGAGACAAGTTGAAGCAGTTACATAAACCCGTGCATTCTCTTTCGACGTCGGACGCTCTGAAGTTGTTCCATGAAGAGCAGACGAGAACACCAGCAATACAAACAGAGAATCCGAAACCCGACTGCACCCAAATTTCAGATGAAGGTGTTCTAAAAAATTATTATAAAGAGCTGCAATCATTAATTGACGAGACTCCTGCAATTGAAGTGTGCTTAGATATGATGAAGCAGTAATATTTATTTTTAAGCATGTTTGGCAAAACATTAATTAGATTATAAGTGGTGGATCTTACAAAATATGTAGATAATAAGATACTAAAAGTTATAAATCATACGGAATGTGTGGGTAAAATAGTGTCTGGTCAACTTTTAAGCAGTTGTACGTTTTGCCAAACATGCACGACTGCCTTTACAGTATTTACTATATTTTGTACGTTTCGGATATGGTACATCCCTTTCTTTATTGACCATATGAAATCCACACTGTGTTATGCTACTTTTCAATTTTTATGAATCGACAAGTCATTGGATATCGCGAGAGAGCTTAGGCAGGGCGTGAACGAATACTCTTTTTCATAAGATATTCATCGTAGGCTTACACTCTTATTTAATCCTTTTGGTTAGTACCTTAACATATAAAACTTTCAATCAGGCTAAATGTATATAAGTTTTTTACATTGGGCCACATGGTAACAAGTTGTAGAACAGCTTAAAAACGTAAAATATTTTTTCACCAATCAAATCATGTCAATTTGGATGATGTCAAAAGTGATGTACATTTTTGGTGTATAAATGGCTTGACTCTAAAACTTTTCTACAAGTTTTCATGATCTCAAAGGCAGTACGAAAGGCTACATAACAAGTTTTAAAATAAATAGAAGTGTTTGCTTGGTCTCTAAGGCAAGTAATCAAGTTTTTGTACTTCAACTAAGTATATTATTTAAAAATCTTTGCACATCAAAAAATTATTTAAAAGTGATTTTCACTTAAAAAATAAGGTTATCTAATAATTCTCGTGATCACGATTGTGCATTTCGTTTTCAATTGCCACTGCGAAAGGGACTCGGCCTATTTGTCACTTTGTGGATCTTATTCTTGATTTTTTCACAATAACACCAACCAGTATCCGAGTCACTGGCTTCTGGTTTGACCGGCCGGTTGGTTGTTTATGTTTTCCGGTTCTTAAATAATATTGTTTCAGGTGAAAATTGGACTGGTTTTTCAAAATATAGAATTTTAGGCGGAGTAGTATTGTGTCTCAATGTTTGCAAGGATAATAAATGGATAAAAATTGTGAAAATCTGATTAAAATTAATGTTTGACTATTATCCAATATAAAAATAAAAAATAAAAAATTAAATAAATATTTTATTTTTAAATAACAGATTATATAATTTTCATTTTGATTTTCAGTTATGATGTCAAAAGTATTTTTAGTTATAATGTCAAAATCCAATGTCAAACATACTTTAAAATAATTTTCTCATGACACCTCATTGTTTTTAGTTCCTAATTTTTAAATATTTTGAATCTCATAAATTATTTTTACACGCGAAGTGCAAGTCGAAACATACCGAACTTATTTGAGTCAATGATCTCAAGTTTCATAACTTAACTATAATTTGTGAACCAACGAACTACAAACTGAGTTAATATCAACATCATAACTAAAATTATTGGCGGACTCTTGTACTTGGAGAGTTGTTTCATAAGCTTTGAGCTCAATGATATCGTAATTCAAGCACAAAAACACAAGATGAAAAATAAATAGTAATTTATCCCGACCTCTAGGTTAGAGCTGATCAAGAATGAAGCAAATGAAGATACTCCCCTTTTGCGAATTACTGCATTTATCTGAATGATCCACAAACGACGAAAATTTCTCTTTTGCTTATCTCTATCCCGATGAGCCGAAACCAAAGCTCTTATTTTCTGTTAAGTAATAGTTCGATGTGTAGTCTTGAGCTCGACGTTCTATTTGAGGAATATGACTAAAATGTCCTTGAGGTCATATTTCGTTATGTCAGATTTGACACAAATGTCTACACTGTATTTTTCTATCTTCATCATTTTCTTGCATCATGGAATACGAACTTTGAAGTCAAAGAGAGTATTTATTATACTATTGTCGCTTTAAATAATTGATAATAAGTGGTGACTTGATCCTTTAGGAGCTGTAACGAAGACTAGCTATGGATAATATAATATCAAATATTGTGATGCTAAACTCGGGGGGGGGGGGGGGGGGGGA